TAAAGTACTATTGACTTGCAGCACGGGAGTGTGTGACCGAACTATCTCCAAAATTGTGCGACTTCCACTCATGACAACTAAAAGCTCTTTACTCGTTACGGACCACCCCAAGATGAGGATGCAGCATTTAGTTGTGAAAATAAGAGCAAGTGGAAGCTGAATCAAATCTTGAAGCTCATTCATCCACACGCTTCCGTGTTGAAGGTCATAGCAAACGCGACAAGACATGGGCAAACACCCAACAACGTGGCAGTAAGCATGCTTTATTTAAAAGTATTTATCAAAGGGTGGACCACAAAGCATGTTTTAAATGTTGAATGTTTACTGCTGAAAGGTATTCCTGTCCTTATATGTTTTAAAGATACATACTTCAGTATTTTACTTACCAGTGACATTTGAATTTCAGATCGAAGTGAAGTCCACAAACACTCGCAAAGGATTGGGCCACAGTGGTCCCAAAACAGAAGGCCAGAGAACCCAAATTCTTAGCAAGACACGGGAGCGCTATGAGGCTATTACAGAAAAGGAAGCAACCACTGGATCAAGTCCAAAAGGCGAAAATACTTGAAATGCCTTATCAGCCAGCAGCATCTGTGGTTCCCATCATCATTTGTTTTATTATTACTTCTTATTTGTTTTATTATTACTTCTTAGTGAGGATGAAGGGCTTGTACATAACATAATATTGAAATCAGATTTTTTATTGTGAGACTGAATGAGAGACTTGAGACCATTGAGACCTACCATAAATGCAGTGTAAATAAATGTCATAGCGGAAAATGTTTATATATTTTATGTTCTAAGATGCTTACTTTCCATATCCATTCATCGTGCACATAATCTGTTCGCTGCAGTCATGTCTGTGAATGGAGCAGGAGCTTCTGTCAAGCCTTGATGCCTTTTGCTCTTGCGACTTTCTGTAATGTTAGTCATGTTACTAAAGAAATAAAAGCTTTCTTTCTTCTTTTTCTATATAGTTGGTCTGTTATGTTTGCCTATAGGTACTAAGCTTTTAGTACCAGCAAAGCTGCTAGCTAATCGTGCATTGTTCACCCCGTACCGATGTTGACTCCAAACCAAAAAACTATCCTCATGATAAACGGGTATTCACCATAGAAGTTGTGAAATCCTACTGCTCGCCATTGGTTCACTAAATATGAAGAAGCCAGCAGTTAGCTCAACAAATGGGTATGTGCCACAGGAATTCGTGCGGCCTATCAGAAAACTTATCACAGTAGGCTTGTGTGAATATTCGAACGTTTAGAATATTCCAACAAACACTGCGATTCATTGTACCATGTGGTAAAGTAGCACACTTTTTACAGGGACAAAAGGACTGATAATTATACCATACGGTATAATGTTCAGTCACTAACTAGCACAGCTCTCAACCTTATTGAATATTACAATGTTCGAATTCATTTCGATTCAAATTTAACCCTTTTGTGCGACAGCGGGACACATATGTCCCACCGTTTAAATTAGAACTATGTTAAGACACTCATATTTTATGCGAGTCTGTAATTTCAAATAAAATTCTTTTACCACGCTTTTGAAGGATGGATGTACTGTTACAATAGCTTTGAATTTCCGTAAACATTTTATGATAGCAAAAGGTATCTTGAAGGGCCAGTTGGTACATGATACTGATGGGAACAGCGCGAAAAACGGGAACGAAAAAGAATGAACACACGACACAAGCACTTGTGTCGTGTGTTCATTCTTTCTCAGTCCCCATGTGCATACAGTACTTTCGGATTCAAATGCCACATCACAATATTTAGCGTAGTGACTGGTATGCACAGTCGCTCGAGATAACCACTTCATTACACAACAAATCTGGTCTCTGATGATAACGTTGGCTTTGATCTACGTGTTTGGATCGAAATTGCGCTGATATGGCCTAACTGAAGACAGTGGAAACAAAAGTAGAAAACGTTACTTAGTCTTAAGTAGTCCTATTTAAATCCATGAGTACTGTAGCCTGGCAAACGGTTGGACGTCGATTGTAACACTGGCTACCAATCTCGTGAACTTTTGAAGGCAAGTTCCAGTGGAAAAAGAAATGCTGCCATACATTACAGTAAACAAAAGGTACCAATCAATTTTCTTGACGAATACTATTTGACAGGTATTGTAAAATATATTGTTGCTTCCTTACAATGATTGTACCACGATACTATTAGGTGACGAAAATATCAATTAATGTCTAGTACAGTGTGAATGGTGTTGAGCACCAGATTCATAGATAAACGTAAAGTGTTTGTTAAATGGAAATATTATTACAAATGGTATTAATAGGTGGGTAATGTATAAAATAAGCAGTACTGTGTATATTTTTAAAACTATGGAGTCATAGTCGCCATAAAAGGTACAATAAATACTGGAAAATGGAGCAGCCATTCCCAAGTGATATTGTTACGGAAGAGAAGAGATGCCGTATCGACTAGGCTGTGGATGAAATATATTTCAAACCAGCAGCAGCGGTGTGACGGGTTGACCAGACACCGAGCGAAGACCACTCTACGCCCTTTTCGTCAGACACACACGTGCATCGTCTTACAAAATGTCAACATTTGTTGCGGCAATCAACGCAGAAGCGCCACATGTCATCTTTTTAACGAGCACAACGGGAGATGCCCAAGGGCTCGAGGAGGGTTCAATTCCTTTGGCTAGCATCTTGTTGACTTCTTGAATTACCTTACGCTCTGTGGCAGACATCCGGTATGGTCGGCAGTGAATTGGAAGAGAATCAGCTGTATTAATGCGGTGCTTCACGAGGGAAGTTTGACCCAGGGGACTGCTGTCGATGTCAAATATGTCGCAAGAGGAAGCCAGAAGGCTGAATAGGGCGTTGGATTGCTCAGGTTTGAGTTTCGAGTCGATCATGGGGCGCAAGGCCGCATCAAGAGATGTGGCATCCTGCGGGTGACATGGAAGGTCGGAGCATGCGTCTTCTGCAAAAGCGGTGACGTGAGCGTCTATTAAGGCTTGCAGCGTGGTGACTGAAATTCCGTGTGATAGTACTTGCTTCATCAAACAAACGTTATTAATGGGCAGACATGTCCAGTTAGAGGCCATGGTTACGATTGAGTGTGGCACAGTGATGTCGCGTGCCAGGAGAACATCAGGAATATGCGTGACGACATAATCACCGTCAATAACGGGTGAACTTGTTGCCAATTCAATGAATTTAAGGGTTTTATCGAGCACGGAAAATAAAACAGGAACATAGCGGCCGGCAAGGCTAATACGAGCAGTACACATTCCAATGACGGCCACAGTTCCACAATCGGTGACAAGGACAGCTTGTATTGTGGCAGGCGTGAGTACTTTTTTTGAGGTGGTGACGAAGACGAGCACTCATTATAGACACCTGAGCTCCAGTGTCAACTAAAGCCGTCAAAGAAAGACTGTCCACGTGAAAGAAAGACTGTCCACATGCACTTCCAGCAAGTTCTTATTAGTAGGGAATGTCAACGGAGGATTTGGGTCAGTCGCACTTGATGCAGAACTACCTCCAGGAGCTGCATGATCTAGTTTTCCGTCCGGAAAGATCCATAGTTAGTCGGCGATGGATAGCGGTGGGGTGTTGGGGTGACAAAGAAAGGCGGCGTTGTGGTGACGGTGAACGAGCGGTACAGCAGCTGTTAGGTGCGTCAGAGGCAGAATACTCACGGCTAGGCGAATACTGACAGGGGTCCGCGTATGGGCGAGGAGAAGAAAATTGGCTCCAACGGGGGGGGGTGGGGGGGGGGTGTACAAATGCTGCGGCAGTAGCGAGAAACATGGCCAACTCGGTGACAGCGGAAGCAGATTGGCTTGTCATCTGCTGTTCTCCATTCCGTCGGATTGCGGATCTGGGCAGAAAATATGGGTCATGGCGTGGTGCCATCATTGGCATCAGTCTGTAGTCCAGTCGCGAGACGGAGCAGGTGACAGGAAAACTAAGGTTAGCAATGTCTTGCCATACGATTGCCTGAATAACTGACACCGCCGGAGATGTTTGCACGGTGCCCTGGTCGAATGGAAGTGGATGAAACGGCGCCGGACGGGCCGCCTCAAGCTCGCGCTGAACGATGCGTGTAACATTCTCGTGCAAGGGTGGTGTTGCACCGAGATCGGTGCAGGTTGACGTGACAGCTGTGTTTAGGAGCCGCGAAAATTGAGGCAGAGCTCGGCAGTTTTTGGCCATTTCGAAGCAGCGGCATTCCTTAATGATGAGATCGACGGTCGTGAGGTTGTTTACATGAGCAAGTCAAAAGCATTGTCCGCGATGCCCTTAAGTATGTGGCCCACTTTGTCGCTCTCGGTCATTTGCTCATCCACTTTGTGGCACAACGCGAGCACATCCTGTATGTACGAGACATGCGGCTCGGTTGATGACTGTACTGGGTGGCGAGTTCTTGTCGTGCAGCCATTTGTCGATCGGACGCTCCCCAACGATGTTGCGGAGTCGTTCTTTGAAGATGTCTCAGCTGGCGAGCTCGGTCTCAGGATCGTCGAACCATACACGCGGGGTGCCATCCAAGTAAAAGATTAGGTAGGCGAGCATCATGGTAGGGTCCCATAGGTGAGTCAGGCTAATGCGCTCATACATGCAGAGCCAGTAGTCGACGTCAAGGCCAAGGTGGGCGGAGAACGTACCGAGATCACGGAGGTGGGACATTGCAAGGTACATAATAGCTGGCGCTCTAGCTGAAGGCAGTGACAGCTTGTTATCATTAAAAGCTATGGTCAGAGTCTGGATGGTGCGACCACTGCAAAGCTTCGTGTGAGGACGGGGAACGTTCCACCTCGACCGAGTATGTTACAGAAGAAAAGCGACACCGTATCGACGAGGCTGTGGATGAAATATATTTCAAACCAGCAGCAGCGGCGTGACCGGTTGACCAGACACCGAGCGGAGACCACTCTTCGTGCTCTTCTTCAGGCATACAAACGCATGCTCCCACAAAACGTCAACATGCATGTAGCAATATGAACGATCACCATCAGTTATATTATGTATTTCTATTTCACAAAAGCACACAGAAAAATTTAACTATTCTAACTGTACATATTGCTCTGTTGTGCAAGTGCATTGCTTTGCCACTGACATGTTCCAAACAGTCCACATAAACACAATCAGATCAAAATAATACACACAGAGCTAGCTTCCTGGAATGTGGAAATATCCAAGGGCATGCTTCATAGGTATTTTCACTACACCCCCTTATGTAATAGTACAGCCCTCCTGCAAATGATGATGCCAATGAAAATAAAATAACTTCATGCAATTTTTCAACATGTCCAGACGCTGTTTTAGAGTATACTAGTACAGAGATTAAAAAGTATGGTGGCCGCTCTATCACTGAGCTAATAAGGATGTCAATGCATTCTACACTCACGAACCAATCCTTCACTGTGTTAGGTAGTGCAACGAGAGGGTGGTGCTGGAAAGTATAGATCCTCTCTATAATAGCCAACTGCCTCACACATGATTTATTAGTCTCGCTTGTTTATGCATGGCAGGGAAGCCATAGGGTCGCAAATATAAACTCTATGAACTGTTTAGACTACCTCAACCATTCTCATCTTATACGAGAGTTTAACTCATGCATTGAAGAATGAGAACAGTCCTCATTTATACAATATTTAATTGTATGCACTTACACTCAATATGAACTTTACAATATTCACACACATTCAACAAAGTTGCTCCTGGTGTCAAAAAGACTCCTCTTTTAACAAGTGCTGGGGGTGCCACTTCCACATATGTTTTTTCACATCCATAGCAGCACTTCAGACCACTTCCTAATACACAAGAAATATCTCGCCAGGCTCAATTCCACGTCCTTCTTGTGAGATGCCATACACTAATGCCAGTTAGACAGAAGGACATACTTTCAAAACGTGGAATGTCAATGTTACAGACGTCTTCCCGACCTTGTATATTCACTAGATGCAGCTCGAAGTTCATCCAGAAAGCTAAGAAAAGATGAAAAGGAGCATACGAATGCAACCACCATTAATCATAGTAACAAATATTATGCTTCTCACTAAACATTTCAATTCCATTACAACGGCACTTTCTTTTCAGGCCTACATGCTCACAAAAACACTGCAAATCAGCTATATATAGCAAACCACATCACAGCTAGTTTTTTCTTTGCAGTTCTTCTAGTTATAGAGATACTATTATGCATGTTATTACTGCAAGCTGCGCACTAGTATAAACTCAATGTAGCAATGCAGTAGTAATGCTATGGCTAATGCACATCAAGAGAATTTTCATGGGCTCACAGGCTAACCTTGTCTTATTTTCGTTCCCTAGAATCCGGAACAGCGTGCTTGTTCTACAAATAGTACCAGCAGAGTGGAAATATGTTTCAAAAAAGAATGACAAGGAATAAGACAGTGTCTTGGTTCACATAACTTACTAAGTACAATCACTGCCTTCATCTATAGGCATATGGATTACTACTGAGAGAAGCTGATGTATCTCTGCAGAGTTCTGACATGCACGACTACCAGGCCAATTTTGTGTCAGTCTCTCACGACCTAATATAAGGGCACAGTCAACTTCACAACTACTACTATATGCAATGGCTAGTTGTACGTCCCATCACACATGATGCCCAGTTTGTCATGCCCATAGTATTTCTGCTAGTGCTTCAAAGATGGTGACATGCCAACGCTAGAAATAAAAGATGGTTGAGTGACCTGTTTATATCACCGTCACAAAAAGAACATTTAAACCGACAAGCATCACATTCGCAACCCGGCATTTGAGGTAGGTAACAGTAACGTTGTACGTAAAAGCATATTTGAAAAAGTTCCTTACCTAGAGAAGTTGTGGACACATGTTCCCCCCAACATGATACGAACTGTAGAGTTTGCTACATTGAGCTTGTATATGGAGAGGGATTCCTCATAAGTCACTCCGCCCGCAATGAACACCGTTATGTCTTGGTAGCGTAGAATGCTGCCACTACAAAAAAAAAAAAAAAAAACACATTTGAGTTCATACCTTGTAAGAGTAACTTCTTGTGAAACTAAATGTGCACAAAGGTGCATTACACTATGGCTACAGAGTACACTCCATGTCTGCCATGTCTGCAAAGTAAGCTGCAAACATTTTCACTCAATGCGATGTCAAATAATCCAGTTTCCAAATTTGAGGCAAAGAAATTGGGGAAATTTTTAGGGGCTTGTTTCTTTGTCAGACATAGCCAAATGATTTGAACATTCAGGCAAGTCTTTTATCACCCATTAATCTTCCTTTTATTACAAATTTAAAAAATGTGTCCACATAATCCCGCAAGAGACCATTTCTAAAAAGCAGCTCTCAAAGTCTATTGACATAAGCAAAGACTTCATAGCAAGCACTCAACCCACGACATTTAACATCAATAAAGTATTTACAGTGGACTCTCACTTTAAACTTCAAGAGACCCAAGAAAATAGTTCACTTAACTGAAAGTTCATTGAACCTCAACTAGAATATGTAATAGCTTTTGGCAACGTAAAAATTAAGTTGAACTTATGAAATGCATAGTTAACGACGGCACAACTATGAACCCACACCAACTCGCTCAACTGTCAGGGCTACTGAATATGAAATGCAATTAATTTTGGAAAGAATTCAGCGACTTTTATTTGGATTGGCACCATTAAAGCACAAAAAGAGACAAGGCTTCTTTTCTGTGCCTCTGGCACAGCTCGTTCCTGTGACACGGTCTCGCAACTTTTCTAATGTATCCTACAGCCTCAGCAACAAGATACGCGATTTGACCTGTCTCAGCCATTTATAACTTCTTCACCACACTCTTCTTTTTTTACTTTGGCTGATACGCTTGAAACAGTTTCGAAATTTAATAGCTCTGTGCAGGCACTGTAGCACACAAGGCTAGTTTTCGTCTTCCGCACAGCCGCTTTGCCTCGGAGGCACTACACGCACAAGTGGTGTTGCATTGCCACCACTATATGGGTGCTTAGAAGGTGGCAAGCATTGGCTACACCAGAGCTGCAAAGCTTAAAACTTCATTGAATTTATGTAATATCAGCCTAGGTCCACATATTAAGTTCGTTCAACTGATATATTCACTATTCTGTTTAACTAAAATATTTTGCACAGACTGCAGACAAAAACAACCGGGCATTTTATAAAAGTTTGTTAGTTTGAAATATTTGTTAAACCAATGCTTATACAACTGAGAGTTCACTATATACACTTCCGGCTTACAAAAATGTGCTGGCCTTGCTAAATAAAATCATTTTTTCATTATGCTAGTTAGTTGTTCCGGTCTCACCTGTCAGATGGCGCATATGCTTGAGGATAAGCGTTGTCTCTTAGCCGACCTCGCAACAAGTCTTCCAGTATGTCATAGACAAGTGGTACATGTTGTGTGTAAATGTTTTCCACACCCTGAGAAAGACATTTTACACATCTTTTTATCAAGGTTATACCGTGCAGTACAATCTAACTATGTTAAAGCTCACTGTCAACCCCAAGAGGGTTGGGTTTTAACATCAAGTTGTTTGGGGCATTTGTCTTGATGAATAGAACATTGATAATTGATACATGGGACATTTATCTTTATAACCTTATATGCTTCAATGAGATTGTTATAACACAAAAACACGATGGAAAATATTGTACGGCAAAAGTGTGTGTTCATTGCAGGAGACAATTCACCATTCATTTTCATTCTTAAAACTTTGTAAGAAATGTGCTGTTCTAAATGAGAGCTGCACAGTCAACATTGGGACTAATGAAAATTGACTGTGATGCAGTAGCACTCAAACCTAGAGCTAGTGCGAATAGCAGAATTTTGGGTGCGGAGCAAACTCCAATAATGAAGTGCGAATCGAATCGAACATTCCCAGAGCATTTTTCTAATAGTTTAAAGCGAAATTGCAAAACAAAGAAGAAGTAGTGGAGAAGATTCCCAAGCGCATTCTTATGAGATGTAGCAACATGAAAGTGTTTCTTTTCACTTTGTTGATGAAGTACTGGCACGCTGATACTTCATAGTCATCAAGAATGAGGCAATACAGAAGCCGAATAGTATTAGTAGAGATTTTACACATAAAAGGCAAAGATACTATTTACTCAGCCTTTCCTCCTCATTCAAATTTTGCGGAAACCCAAACGATGTGGCATACAAGGCTGTGCTCCCTTCGAGCTAGGAGTGTCGAATCTGCCTCACAGACGTCAACGTACAAAAACATTTGAAATTTTGTATGCTAAAAATTTCCGGCGTCCGATTTTTTCGACTTCCTGCCCAAATTTCTGGTCAAAAACAGCATGAATTAAGCCCCCCCCCCCTCTCTCTGCTGCATCTGTCATATCTATGTTGGAACTAGCATTTTCTTGAGTCAATACATTTGCAATGATAGTGGAGCTTGAAAGGCAGCTTTACCAGAATATAACAGTGTAACAAAGTGAAACATGAAAAATCTGAAGAGGTCGTTTATAATTGGACACTGTGTGTCTGAAAAAAAATTAAACTATAACAAAGCCTGAAAAGCAGCCTCGCTGCAATGCCTGAATGTAATGAAGTAAAGCATATTAAAGTTTGAAGTGGTTACTTTGAATTAGATGTGGAGTGTTTTTCATTAGTTAAAATGGTTTGAATAGAATTCCAGTGCAAACCGAATAGGGAACTCTATACGAAAAGTATTCGAAATTTTGAATATTTGAGCACTCCTACTCACAATGTGAAACCGAAGTAATAACAAGTCTCCCTCAGCATAAACCTAGTACATTTTCTTCAGCCAATTAGGTGCTTTTCATTGTGAGCTATCATAAGCTTGAACATTTTCAAACATAAAAGATACACTTATTGAATAAAATATGAAAGGACTAACCTTTAGACCTTTGATGACTTTCTTTGTAAAAGCACGAACATTATCAGCACTGAACTTATCATTAGGCTGGAGCTTGCGTTCTTGAAAGTCAAGCGCTGCGGGTATCATCTGAAAAGTGTATTATTGCTTAAAACAAGATAAAATGCAGTTTGCCAAAACCCAATCTCTCTAGTTCAAAACTGATAACTGAAAACCCAATCTCTCTAGTGCAAAACTGATAACTGTGAGCCCAACAAATGAAGTATACTGTATTACAATACAAACAACAGCACAAGGTACATAGGACAGCTGTAAATCTATTATTCATGTCCGAATCACTTAATAATAAGCCTGGGGTGGAGAGGGAATTAAAAAGAAAAAGAAAAAAAAATGCATCAGAACACAGAAAATTCTACTGTTCCCATTCTTCTCATCTACCAATGATTTAGTGCTTCATAAAAAGGAACACATAGCATAAACACGAAAAAAAAACTGTGCGATCAATTTAGTTTGAATCTCTTCAATATAATTCAGTCTAAGTTCATGCATAGTTTTCATTCTAAATAATGGTAACATAAACTACTTGAGACATTATCATCATGGTACCACATTTTAATGATGGTGAAGGACAAAAAATTATTTCCAAATGTCTAAAAAAATGTTGAACCATTACCGAATGAAGATGTCCCTACAAAGATGAGGAACACTCAAACTGCAATGCAGTAATTTACAACTGTAATTTTAAATAATTTAGAACAATATCCCATAATGCTCACAAATTGATTACACAAGACACCTTTTCAGAATAGCTGCTGCATTTAGAAAACTGTAATTAAAGGGCCCCTGAACCACCTCCAATACTTTTTCAAGCATTTCAAGTAAACAGGTGCATTATGTGCAGAATACCATCAACATGAACAATGCCACATGTGGTAGCACTACAAGCCAAGGGCGCGCCCTAAATTCAAAAAATGATCCGTCTTCATCTCCGTCCTTTCCTGCCTCCATGTGGTGTTGTAAAGCTGAATCTGTGATGCGCAAGTTATGCTGCGATTGGCCGAACAAGAACCTATGGCTTCCGGTTAGTCTGTAAGTAGCTGCTCAGGCTCCTTGTTCTTCGATGTGTCGCGGTCGCGGTGGCTCCTCATCTCGCGCGCAGGTTCTCTGGCATGGCGTGTCACCACACGGATCTATCATGTTGGCAATCATTTGAAGGTTTGTGCACCGTACAGGGTCCATACCAGCACAATCGTAGGAGCATTGGCCGGCCCAGCAACAGAGGTTAATCAACAAGCACGGAGTTGGAGTCGTGGCAACCGGAAGTAGACAGTGTTTCGAACAGCGCGTCAGCGATGACGGATGCTAGGCGAAATCTGGAAGGGCACTTGGCGAGGAGGGCAAGTGACTTTCGGAGAGGCGACCAGTAGAGGGTAGCGAAGGTAAGAGCGAAAGGAGCGCTGGCCATGTTTCTATCATCAAACGCGTCTAACATTATGGCACCGTGTCGAAAACTTCTCACGGCTGCATTCATTGTAGACTCATGCACAAATCATGACTACTTTTCGACCTCTGGATGGTTAAGGGAGTCCTGGGACCCTTTATAGTAGATGCATCTTGTAAGGCAATAACTTGGGAACAGTGATGGTACTGTGAGAAAGTCAATGATAAAGAAGTAGGAGGTAAAATAAGATGTGTAAATGACAATACTATATACCTTTTTTTTTTTTTTTTCCTTTCGATTTAAAAATTGTTAAGCATGGTCATTGACTTTGACACTCACTCTTAAAAGGGCTTCAGAGATCCCTCTGTTCTTCAGGAGATGCACCAGGCCGCTGAGGTCACTGTTGCTATGTTTATCGAAGTGCAAGGCATATAGAATGACAAGCCGAAGGCAGTCAATGTCACGAACTTTGCTGCTGCCAATCAAACTTCGCACGCGCTGCAATAAACAACACAAAATAATGCAGCAGACTTATAATCTAGTACTTGGTTTTGAAAGAACATTTTATAGAGACATTTGTTAATCAGCCTGGACTGCGAAAGCATGCTTTCAGAAGTATCATTTCTGGTAGTTTTTTAGAAAGACGACTACTGCCAGCAAGAAATGAATGCGCAGAGGCGAGACACTGAATCAGGAAACATATCACGAAGTTGTACATGCCCTCTTACTGTTAAGTACAGCAATAAAATGTGCAGGCAGGAACACAGGGCCCAATATTTATGTTATGTTCATTCAAGTCTATCTTCAAAAACTGCCAAAACAAATATTATGTTCCCTTAGACAGGTCTCAAACGCGAGGCCCCAGTTGTCCTGCTTGTGGCCCATGCCTCTACAAGGAATGAAATGTTTATGGAGTGGTCCTCGCATTATTTATTCATTTTTTACCATTATAGACCCCTTGTTGGGGAAAGATACAGAGATTGAACTGATCTCAAGCATTTTCTTTCGTGCGGCACTTCATGGGGTCACCATGTGCTAAAGCATGGCCATAGAACAAAACATCAATATTACACAGTCTGCATCCACATTTCCATCATTGTGAAGATTAGTATAGATAAAGCCCTCTAATCCCGACACCATATCCCCTTCAGAAAATACCTGCGAGTGAAATATGACACATGCATTAGTTCAAGTGGAAGCGTTAAATAACATTAGTTCACCTCCCCCTTTACTCCCTTGAACCTTGTTCACTGTCCCAGTCCTTGTGGTCATGGCTGCGGCCCACTTGCTGGGGTGAGTTTGAGATCCCTGCATTAGACTGACACAAAGAATGAATTCTCACACAGTGCTGCTAAGAACACACCTTGAGAAGGTCGGAGTGGTCCCTGGTAGCCACAATTTCTTGCTCTACCTCGGACACCTCCAGTAGGCTATGGGCACCGACTAGACGTGACAGCTCTCCGACCAATGTGACATGTTTGGCCACTGTCCCCTGAATCTTCTTGAACTGAGGGTAGTGCTCCACAAATGCCTGTACAGCGGATCAGAAAGCACCACCTTGATGAACTCTCACTCTTTTTTTCTTTTTGCTACTATGAAATTGCAATGCACGACTGCTGTTATGTGCAATCATTAGTAAACTATTAAACTCGGGCTTGAGTAATCGCAGCTAAACAGAAATGCACCCAAGTTTCCTCTCATGCACTTTATTTTTCCCTTATGACTGAGCACACAAAAGTGCACCCCTTCCAAAAGATGTACCGTTGTATTCATTTTATGACATGCGCGGGGACTCCTGCATAGCTCAGTTATTCAGTTATTGATATTGTCACGGACTGAAAGGTTCAGGAAAATAAAAGCAAGAACAGTTACAAAGTAAAATGTTGTGTAGAGCTGGCTATCTCACACAATACAATGAGTTACTAGCTCATATAAGCTAGCTGCTCATATAAGCTGCCATTTTCAGTTGCCTGCGATGATTATTAATAACAAAGCATGCAATTGGCATTTACGTGTACACATTTTGAGCGTAAGTTTGTGTGCGTGACCACACAAAAGACTAAGACATGGTTTGAACAAAAGCTCAATAAATGCCGTGGTATTTGTAGAATCAATTACATTATTAAAATGCCAACATCTTTTAAGTGACAATGGTTTAATCCAACTAGTATTTAGACACTCATTGAGCAGGAACTAAAATATCTGAAAACATCTGCTGGCATGCAGCACTCTAGTTATCCACTGGAAAATTTTTGCATTCCACATACCTTCATGTCAGCTATAGACTCGACTTTTTCGTGACTTTTAGTCTTGGCTTGGAATTCTTCCATGAGGTCCTTGATGTTGGAACCAATCTCACCAAAGTTCTTGTACATATTCTGCACAAACAATGATCTATGCCGCTAGCCGTCCTATTCTAAACACTCCAGAAAGCTTACATTGCTGTAGAACTCGTCATTATCTTCTGACAGCACCATGTCCTGCAAGTCTCGTGAGAGTCCAGGAACTTGAGAAAGGTTCACTCGGTTGTTCTGAATCTTTAGCAGCTCATGAACCATTGCCTGATATGTCCACTATAAAAAAAATATACATAACACAAAAACCCGTCATTTTTTAATTAGGGCAATTTAAACCAATGACAGAAAATCCAAAAGTGAAATCTTAGTGTGGTGATGATTGTTCTTTACGTTAAGTTACGAATGGGCAAAAGATATACTGATTTTGTCTGTTTTCTGGAGCAAACGAAAAAGTATTTAGAAAACCAGACATGACCTCTCCCAAGTGCTTGCATGTAAAATCCAAGTGAACATGAAATATAAAACAAACAACAATAATATTTTATACACACATATATATCTATGTATCTATGTATGTATGCATGTATGTATGTATGTGTGTGTCACACACACACATACATACACATATGATATATATATATGTGAGTGTGCGTGTGTGCACACACAAACGGCGGGCTTCGCGGCTGCCACCAGGGAAAAAAACGCTGTCGTGATCAACTAAAATGTTCACCTGTGGAAAACAAGACATCTTCACAGCAACACGGCAGTGACACGCGGGCAGCTTGTCGCTTGTTCCTCGCTGAGTCAACATGTCATGATACTCTATTCGCCCATTCTTTCTAGTAAAAAGAATTTCATAATAGACAGTGTGATGAAATTTGCAATGTTTTGGTTGAAAAACATGATCATTGAAGCTTTTGAACCAAGTTTCCGAAGCAGGCGTTTGCCAGCCGTTCAAGGGCGCGAATCACTGGAGCAACAGGCAATCGGAGGTTCACATACATCGTGTGCCAAGCTGTCCTTGATTAACTTCTTTAGAATCTCGGAAAGAATGGGTAAATCATGACCCGCTGACTTTGTGAGAAACATGCAATATGCTGCCCGTGGGTCACCGCTGTGCTGCAGAAAAACACGTCTTGTTTTCCATATGGTGCATATTTTGAATAACCATAAGATCTTTTTATTTTATTTCATTTTTCCACTGGAAGTAGCGAGACTGGGGTGCTTCGGTTGCCACTTATAAGTATCGCTATGTTGCGTTGCCTTATGGCTCTTAAGGGCCGTCGTTGCCGCGGATTTGCGGTGAAATCGGTATCAAGAGTTTGCACATGGCACCCAAAGTCCAGTTTTCGAATTAACTGGACTAGTGCTGACCGGTACTTCAATTTATCCGCATAGTCTTACATTGAAAAATACAGGACCAAGAAGCGTTTGGAATGAAGTGGGACTTCAAAAAATAACCGAGTTTGAATTAATGAGGTATTGGGTGTCTGTGTGTGTGTATACACACAATAGACTTTCAGTAAATAAAAATTTGTTAAACCGAATCGCTGCTTAAATGAAACAAGGTGCTTCCAACAAGATTGGTTTTGTTTTTGTATTCTGTGCCTATGGTCATCTCTCAGTAAACAAAGCTACTGTTAAATGAAACATATATTCCAGGTCCCTTCAGGTTCTGTTTAATAAGAGTCTACAGGGTGTGCACGTGCGTGCGTGTGCAGGCATAAGGCAGAAATTACTTTTATAACTGCGAGGGTTCGGGAAAAATAACAAACTGGGCTGTAGCAATTTTTATTTATCTTCTTCATAACCTTGCATGCAAGTATAAAAAACTTCACTGGCAGCTTACCTGATTTAGAAGTGGCGTCACTACATCACTTCTACGGTCCAAGATTAGCAGTAATGGGGGCACCTCCGGTTTCCTGAAGTCAAAGAGCTTGGCTTCCCGTTTCATCCATTGCTGCAGGTCAAGTGAAGGTGAAATGAAGGATGAAACATGGTAAGCCTCATAAGACATTGATGGATGGCTAGTAAAACAAAATGTAAAGGGACCATTCGCTCTGCAATGACAGCGGTGAGAACAGGCAGCTACTTGAAATAACTTGTTACTATTATCAATTACTCAGCGCAATCACACTAAGACATTAAAAGAATCCCCATAGTTGCAGCCAGTAAGATCTGTTTTAAGTAACATCTGCTAATGTAAAAAACTACAGTAAACATAAGATTACACTGTGCAGAAAAAAACAGCTATCACCATGGTCTACCATATTGGTGTATTGTACTATATTCCGTACTTAATTAAAACACTGTTCAATACTTTATTGTATTAAAACAGCAGCACTAATCCATTGCATCATATCAAAGAAAAATATACATGCACGTCAATAGGAGGAGCAAGAAACGGTAATGAAAAAGTTCGCTGCACGATAAACTTTTTGATGTTAAGGCTTCACTGTATCAGGTTTTGGTAGCAGGTACAGAAATGCGTCACTCCGCTCATCTGCCAGTAAATATATGATTGACTTCTTCCTGCAGCAACTATGTCACAACTGTGACAAAAAGGTACAAAGCTTAAAATGCTCAATGAAACTACATGACCTGCACAGTTATTTTAACATAACATTAATTGTTGGGGTTTTATGTGCCAAAACACATGACATGATTATGTGGAACACCGTAGTGGAGGGCCCCAAAAATTTTAGCCATCTGATGCTCTTTAATGTGCACCTAATTTAAGTGCGTGGGCCTCCAGCATTTCACCTCCACTGGAATGCAGCTTCAGTGACCAAGATTCAATACCACTATCTTTGGGTGCACAGTTGAGCTGTGCATCACTGACTATCCTTTAATCTTGAATGCAAGAAATAAGAGATCTTCGTATCCTATGTATGGTAGCCCGCTATGCATCAACTATAGAATAGTGAGTAACACCTGGATGACCAGAAAGTGCTTACCGAGACGCCTTCAGCAAGCCGCCGAGCTGGCTCCGAGTTGCACTGATAACGCACTACTGGAGCCTTGCGCAGGCTCAGAAGCAGCGCCACCAGACCCTGAACGCTCCTCTCAAAGGCAGCCGTGCTCCAGCGCTGACCCTGAATACATGAGGACAATTCATTTGGAGAATTATAAACATCTCCTCGGTTCGTGCCTACCCTCACGTGTAGTACTACTATATCGCATGTCAAAACGAGAATAATATTTAATAAAAGACACGAAAAAAGGCTATGAGATGTAGGATGCACTTCGAGCAAATGAATGGACTTCATGGGATTTATTTCATAAGCTTCATTGTAGTGCAGAAAAGGAGAAGAAATGATATGAAATGACCTACAACCAACAAGCCCACATACCCACCCTTTATGAGATTGATCTTATTGTAGGTTCAAACCATACACAGCAAGAGACAAATTAAGAATTGAGTGCAACGCAGATATGGGTCAGCTTCTGTCAGCATGGAGTTATAAATCTAGGTGAGACCTACTATTAGTTTACCCATATGCTTTTTCAGACACCAGTATCTGTCCATAAAACTGGAGCTATCAGATTCAAAACCGAGTGATACAAATTTTATAACACCACATGCGAAATAAATTCTTTGGAACAAGACAAGTGTGAATGCCACTCTTTTCATTTTGAAGTGATGCGGAAGCAATTTTGCATGGTAGCAGGAGTTGAATTTCAGTATGATGCAAGTGATAACCAGTAAAATATGTAATGTTTTAAAATGTACTATACTTAAAGTATATAAATGTGTATAACGAGCTTTTCAAATTTAAAAAATAATATTTATTGTGAAGGTAGTATGCTCATTTGATCTTGAAGTACGGCTTCGCGTGCCTGCGCACTTTCCCTAAAGAGAATAGGTAATTTCAAGGCAAAGCACTCTTACATTGCAGCAAAAGCACCTTCACAAATGTGTACATGCAGTTTAATAATAATGACATTCTCATCATGATCAGCGCAAAAAAAAGCACGAAGTCTTTTGTGCTTTTTTTGTGTGCTGATCATGATGAGTATGTTCCAACTAGCCCAGTTTGCTTCTTTACCTTAATAACGACATTCGTTTTGAACAATTTCGAACAATTGAAATTCACATCAAAAGAAAATTCGAGTCATGCAACATTCGTTAGAATATTCAGAATGCTCAAATATTCGCACATGCCTAATTTCGTGTTTCTAGTTGCTCACTACTTTCACCATTCCAAACAGAGAGTATTTGAGTTTGTGACAAAGATGGTGTTTTTGCCCATGTTAAAGCACCCACGTTATATTTCTGAAGCATGCATCACATGGAATTCCATGTGGAAAGCATACTACATACATATGAAGAATGCATATATGTACCTGAATGTATACGCAAGAGTGTACATATAAGTGTTTTTCCAGATACAAGAAACAAAAAGAAAGCAGCATTTTTCATAAGAGACAAGGTATTGCAGAACCTAATAGTACATACTTCTTGACAAGACAACAATTTCCCAGAGAAATAAAGATGAAATTGTCATGATATTCCATAGTTGAGCAACGACAGGTACAGGGAACATTTTTTGACAGTCGTACGAAAAGCAGATCCTTACCTGAAAGCAGCCAGTAAGGTTGAATGAAAATAGGTGAGGTGCCAAGGCCACATAGTCCCCAAAAAACTCCTTGACTTCCTGTATGCACTCCTGGTCATCAGCCTCCGCAAGCTCCTTGATGTCACTGCGGTTAACTGTGTTGCTAAAATCTGCAAATCGGAGACAAAAGGACACCCTTATGCATAATTCAACTGAAGATCCCTCTTTGGAAGAAATTCCTTGACTAACGACACAAAAGTGTGGTTTGCTCTTCAATGTAAGTATTGTATCTGCAAGGAAAAAAAAGTAAAAGAGGTTAATCTATCATAGTGGCAAGTTGCTTAAGTGGACACTAAACAGAAAAAACTATTTTTCGTATATTAGTAAATTATTTTTTCAGAGCTCGAAAATCATTATGTTTTCCACGAGAAGACTCTTGTGAACAAGGAAACCTGCCAAAAGAAAATGAAGGTGGCAAAAGCACCTTGAAATTCCCACACCAAACACGAGAATGTCGTAGATTTTGAGGGCGAATACTAGATCCTACGTAGTTCCTAATAAATAAAAATAAAGAGCCACCTAATGCACCCCTGAAAATACCAAGAAGGATCACATTATTCTGTCCCAGCATCTCCAGTCTGCGGCACAATTCATGATGCTAGCAGGTTGTTCACGTGACGCCGGGATCAAGTAAGCTCTTGATTGGTGAATCTACGAGATATATGTTTTGTAAATTGTCGCCTACTCTGCTTTATTGGCGTATCTAGGGGGGCGGTAGGGGTGATCACCCTCCTCCCCCCAAATCTCTGTCAATGCCCCTTCCCCTCAAATCAGTGCTCGTAGTCTACCTCTCCTATCACCAATTACGACAAATTATTGAAATCACTGTGAGCCCTATTAACAGTAATTGTGCTATGAAGGGGTTTTTCCGCTAGTAACAACAAAAAAAGTCATGACCATGCGCCATTCTCTGGTATTACTTTAGGTGACCGCTCCCCCCCCCCCCCTACGATGAGTGGCCCGATCCGCCCCGGCTCTGCTTTGCCATGCAGTCGCATGGCCATTTTGTCTTGTCTGGCATGAAAATTGTGCGTGAAAAACTAATTTCGCTTCCATTTTCTGCATTTGTGACAGAGCAAACACAGATAACAGGATGCAGTCTAAAATTGCCAAATCCTAACTTTTTCAACTCTTAGTGTGGACATTCCACATGTTAGTGTGGACATTCCCAGAGGGAGGTTAGTGAAGGCAATAAAGAAACTGTTGTTTTGCTTTTAAACTCTGTGTGATTTAGGGATCCTTTAAGTACTGTATCCTTTGATGATACTGCAGACTCAACATATTGCAAATTCTCTTTTGTTCACACTGCAGTAGAGTGGAATCATTTGTCTTGTGACCAAGTGTGCTGTAAAAATTAATATAATTTTTTTCCAAGCTGTAACCCCCTGGCTTACATGACTTTTAGCAAAGCAGCGTATTTCTGCATAAATCAACAAATAATAAGATGACGAAATTTCATTAGTAAAATTTTGCTAAAATAAAAAAATACACTTTCAAATTGTCATCACGCAAGAATTTTACTGTGAAATTTAAAAATGAGACTTTGGCCTTGATTTTTTTTCTTCTCTATTGATGAAACCATGATGGTGAAATTAATGACATTCGAGTTCTCAGACAGCAATTTATCAACCTAATATTTATACTTCTGGATCATGGTCATATCATTTACAAAAATTGGCGGACGCTCGAGATTTGCCTTCAAGAGTAGGTTGCGATAGCATAAGCGAGTTTTGTGTGCATCATCACCTTCCAAGCTGCTTCAGTTCTCAGTGCATGCCTCAACTGTGTCGTAAGGAACGAACAACTGTGCGTGTAACATTGGCCATTTCAAAGTATTATGACATGCCTGTTGCAAGCACAGTTGTTATGTCACCACTACAGCATAATAGTTTCTTTTGGAAATCAGCGTAGGACTCAGTATGCATTCACAGGGCAACACCCGAACCTAGGCGACTGTTCACTATGTTGATGGTTTTGCTGCTGATGATAATATAATATGTCTGAGCACTTTGCAATAAGTGCTTATTACACAGGCGGCCTGGATTTGATTCTCACTTGGACCCGGAAATGTTTATTATTTATTTTATTTGCATCTTCCTAGACTTGTCAGTCACGGACAAGATCATTTTTCACTCAAAACCAATGGCATCAATGCCAATGGAAGCGCAAGAATTCCAGCGAAATGAGCTCTTGAACGCTATCGCATCATAACTAATCTGCCAGTAATGTCTACTTATTAAAGTAAACACCACTTATAAGAGGTAAGGGCAAATCAGTGCCAATGTTTGGGTGAAGAACATTCATATTTATATAGCTGAAACAATTAGCTATATCTACCAAGCCTCCATGCCCAATTTAACACCTCTAGTTAGTCACTTTTTCTCTGCTCAATGAATGTTAATCTTTATTATCAATTGATGATGCCTAGTTCCTGCTGTCTCTGAGAATTATCAGTCATCATGAAGCATTTTCAAGAAAGAAAATTGTGAACTTTTATGGAGGTGATCAAAATTAAGGGCTTTGAAATACAATGAACAGGGTTACTTAATATGTATTTACTAGGATGCATTCAAGCAGAACCAACACATGCTGCATCAATATTGCAGAATATTTTTGTATGGTTTAAACAAGTTATGCATATTAGAAGCATGCAATAACTTCAGAAACTGTTAAAATAGAAAATATTGCTCTATGTCAACATGTTTGACTCACAAATGTAGTATTGACCATAACGAGGATTTCTCAGTTCTTGGACGAGCAGCTCCACATTCTCTCGAATCGGCCGCAGGAATGCAATGCATTTCATATGCTTCATGGCTTCAGTGCCAGCGCACACGTCAATTCTCTCAAAAAGATAGACTTCCTTGAGCAGCATTTCTGACTGAGCGTACACCACACTCACAGTGGTCGTCTGAAAAAATCCAACACGGAGAGCATGTGTGTCGTGGTATAAGTAGCACTACATAAGAAAAAATAGTGTAATAATCAACAATACAGTTAGACATACAACTGAATGTTCTGTTGAATACACAGTTGACCAGAATAAATGCAAACAAGTGGCTAGTGTACCAGAATGAGATATCCTTGCTTTTTACAATGAAATGTTAGTGCTACCATATTCACAACACACACAGTTCACTCAGGAGCTATGGAGTATGCGTCAAGATATTAGGTTGTAGTTTGTTGGCAATAAATAGTGGCATATGCTGCTTATACACAAGATTGCATGAAAGGTTGTATGCGGGTATGTAAAATACTATATTATTCAGTTCCTGAATGCGACCTGCTAGGTACTGCTTGTGAACAGCAGTGGTGCATTGGACTGCTGGAAGCAGGAGCACATCACCCAGTTCATACAGTGGAATGGTAAATAGGTGTAAATATGTGTCGCTTTCCATGTAGCAATACATAACTTCTTGCAACACAAATGTAATTGAGTTAACATTAGAGTCAAATGACATATATATATATTGCGTTCACACGTTGCACACAATAAGATTTTGCAGTAAATGCAAGCAGTAAGCGTTTTCACCTTTTCTATCAATGTCTTTTAAGCATGAGACACTCCATACAAAGCTAAATAAGTAGATAGATGCCCCTATGAGGTAATCGCACCAGCATGATGTATGCCAATGAACAAGGCGAACTATAATATCGTGAGATCACGCAACTGACAGAAAGAGCAACGGCATTTTCTTATTAGCCACTCCATTTTACAATGTGGCTATCATAGAGGCTAGGTATGTTTTAGTTTCAAACAAAACAAATTAATGCCTATAGCACTAGTTCCAAACTAAATTTAAAAATTCATGCAGCTACATTAGTACAAAGTGTAGCACTGACAATATTTCACTTAACTAAGTGTCCTTAACGCAGAGTTGTAATTGCGTTTGCATGATGTCTATGGTGCAAGTGTTAACATTTATTACTCCTAAGGATACACATAATTTGGTAGTATTAAATCATTTGACAGCCTTGGTTATACGTTCTAGTACAATTTGCTTAGAATGAGCAAGTTAGCTCCACGATTACTAAATGAATTGCAGCCGGTATTAATGTGAAGATGTTTGCACAGTACGCCCCTACGTTGTCATCTTACACAGTGAATGCACCTCCACAGCACAGTGCGACTTAAACACGATTAAACATTTCAAATACGTGACTAGCTTACGGTTTCTTTGTCCATCATCAACACTTTCATTCCCGGCCCACTTTCTTCTATCATCTTGTCAATGTAGAGTCGAATCGCAGTGACGGCACTCATCTTGACGCTTCGAAACCGGCTGCGAGTTCAAGCCGGTTCGCTAAGTATGAACTATTACTCAATGTACAGACACTTGAGCGGCATGTGGGGACACATATACTGTTCGGCGTTTCGAAGGTTCCGACTTGTCTTCATGAAGACGCGACCAAACCCCTTCAGGCTCGACGGTGGGCACAACCGAAACTGCTACGTGCGGTGAACTGAGAAACGCCCTGCACATGAAAGATTCACATATGCGCGTCTTGCGAACTGCTATGAAGAGTGATAGCCTTTAGAGCTGCATAACGACAGAAAAAAACAACTTTCGCGAGATGAAACAGCTTCGATGTGAAGTGTACCGGAATGATTAATTGCTGTTTACATGTGTATTACAATGTTGATGTTTCAAATGGTGATTTCATGAAAAAGCTTAGGAATTTAAATGCCCTGCGCTATTTGCGTTTCCTTCTATTTACTTCCATGTAACGCGTTTCAGTTGAGGGAGACCTTTATTTATGTATCATGTTTCACGCGCATGTCAAAATAAAATACGGCTGTCTTAAAGTATGGGTTACAGATCTCAAAGGTCACGCTTTTGTGTACTGCAAAAGAGGCAAGGGAGCAGTACGTCATGACCGCCATATGTTGGGCATTTTACTAGCCTCTCGTGCTGCTCTTTCGTCCAGCGACCGTAACGGTATCGAGGTCAGCACAAACATACGCACGCACTCCGGTAAGATGTGTGTTGCCGATGATCGGGTGGTGTTGTAGAGCGTGCGATCGTGTCCTTCCTGGTTCACGAACGGGATTATGAAAACGTGTGTATTTGTGTACTGTACCGGTACGTTTATTCGCGCTTAAGTCACTCACGTAGCCAATCATATGGAGGTGTACATTTGGAAAGGTGACTGGGGCCTGCCCAGCATCGACACTGCTTGCTTGGAAGTTCTGGTAATTAGTTTTGCGCTATCGCACGTCACGTGTGCTCCATGTGCTGGAATTTTGATAACCACGATACCCTAATTTGTTCATTTCTGCATAGGCGTACGCGAAGTTTTCCGGGGCGCCAGTGAAAACCAGAGAAGTACGTCGACCCTGGTTTGGTACGTAAGCACTACAGGCTAAAAACTGCTCTGCTAGCGCTAAAAAAAGCAACGTTGGTTTCTGCGACTGTTGCCGAAACCTATAAAGTTCTGGAAATGTTCGCTTTCCTTACTCTAGCAGCCGAAGCCTTCCCGCGTGCGAATGTTCTCTGAAAAAACCCAGCGAACCATAGAGTTTTATACAATTGAAACTCTATGCAGCGAACAGTTATAGCCGCTGTATCAATGTGAAATGGTGCAATCTTGTTATAGGATCGTTGCCGGTGATGCGACATGGACCTGAGACGAAGCTCACCAAATTCCAAGATGTCGTGGCCTACCTCCGAAAACAGGCAAGGAAGCATGAGCTCTTGATGACAGAGCATAGTTTATTTATTAGTTGCTATCTTTTTCATTGCAGAATTATAGCGCTGATGTAAAGCTGACGCCACAGCAAGCTTCAGATGCGAAGGCTTACATTGCCATGCTGAGACAAAAACTCAAGCCTGCCTTGGTACGTGTAAACTATTCTCTACCATGTGAGGAAATTGCATTTGGGGCACATTTTGTCTGACAATGTTTGTATGGGTTTATACATGGATCAGTGACATTATAGACAATATGACAGTGAGCAGACTGAATATGGTGCGCCCCCCCCCCCCCAAAAAAAAAAGAGTGATAAAGGTATCGCAACCTGATGAATTGGATGCAGAGCTGCTTCAGACACCATGTAATGTCGTAAAACTTTTGGCCTTGTTAGTTTACGAGTACACAACCCGCTGTAGTGTGAACATTAACGAAAGGACGGCCCATCACATTCCTATGTCCATGTTATTTTGCACTGCAGTGAATTCAGTAACATGTAATGCATTTTGCAATGCTGGAGCAGGGCCACTATGGAGATTCACATAGTCACATTTTATTGCATTTTTGGCGTCACTAACCAAGACGCACTAACAGCTTGCACACATCATTGAAGTTCATTTACAAGGGAGGGCTGGCTATGAGCAGAATACAAATAGACTGGAAACACACATCACTCTCTTTTCCTATGCACGTCATTATTCTTTTTTGCAAAGTGCCATTAGAAATGTCTAATTCGAGCCCCTTTGCCTGCGATGTATAAAGGCAGTGTTGCATGCTAATTTTTCCTGTTGGCTTCAAAAAGCTAATGCTTTCTTCTGTTCCAGCTCTACCAGTGGTGGGTCGATGCCCAGAACTACGTGGAGCTCACAAGGCCCTGGTACGCAAAGGCTCTGGGCTTTCCCTTCAACTACGTAATCCCTGGACAGATGCAACGGGCCGCCACTGCTGTCCTCGACTCAAAACTGCAAGGCTTTGACCTCGAAGGCGACCAGGCACAGATTGCGGTATGCATAGGTCGCTTAAATGTCAACTTTATGTGGGCCGAGTGATTGCGCAACACATGGCAGAATGCATGCTTCTCAGTGGTGGAAACAGGCGTGATAACATTCCATACATTTACAACTACGTAATAAAGACATAAGGCGAGCTTTTTTGTCATTGAAACATTCAGATTTAAGTGCTCGTGCATTAGTCATCAGAAGTGCCCTGCTCTTATTTTTTTGTTTTGTTTTTTATAATCTGACAAATTTAAGCATCTACTACATTACACGCTTAAAGCCAACACTACTGGCTCTATCTTGGTCCACTTTCGTGTGGTGCCATGCTTGAGGATATGCGTCTTAGACAGCCACTATCAGCCCAGTTTATATCGGTGCTTATAAATATATTATTTATCCTCGTAATGCTGCTTGGAATAAATCAAACAATTCTTCACAGCTTTTCAAGGAAGCGCAGGAGTGCATGACAACACTGTCGCACCGGCTTGGAAAAGAACAGTTCTTCTTTGGCCAAAGGTGAGTTGTCTGTTGGCCAATTAAAAATCCCTTTAACCACTCAGGGATCGAAATTTAGTAGTGGAATTGCAGTGGTGCACGTGCTCTAGTGCATTTCAGAACTACCTATTCTCTTTTGTCGGAATCAAAAGGCTACATATCGTGGGATCTGCAAGAAGACATGTTTTCACAGCTTGTACACAAAATTAAACAGAGATACGGAACCTGCATTTAACTGTGCAAGACAATTCTGCTCTGTTTTGCTACAGGCACATTATGTGCTGTAATTTGGTGGCACTAGTACGAAAAAAACAGAACTGCTTGTTTGCAGACAGTACGTTTTGCCTTAGCATAGTCGCGTAAGTGCACCACCACTCAAGAAAAAAACTTGCAAGTTAATAAAACTACCATAATATGCAGCTACCTTTGTAGTAACCTTAGCAGTAGATACACTGCAAGAAGAATAGGTTTATGCCAAAATTAAAGAGCATTGGAGAGTTACAAAGTCAGAATAATGATTTATTCTTTCGAAACACAATTTTCTTATTTTTATGATGATATACTGATATATAACCAGTATATACTGATACTGGTTGCGGCGATGGCGTAGTGGTTAGAGCATCCGCCTCGCATGCAAGAGGTCCGTGGTTCGAATCCCGGTACCGTGCAGTTCCCAACCGGATTAAAAAAAAAAAAAAAAAAATCCGCGTGTTGATGGAACTGCATTAAGAGGCCTGGGGTGCGGCCTCACCGGCAAACACCGCCGAGAACGCACTCCCTCACCAGAGAAGGATTGGCCACCCTGGTGCAGTATCTGGCCACTACCTCCCACATGCTTACGTCAAATAACTCATGGCCCTCAGTCCCCAGCAGCTGCGAAGCAACTGACCATGGCGGCGGTCAGATCTGCAACGCAGCAGAGGGTGCTAAGAATCTCTGGATCCGGACAGGCCGCCATTGGAACCTGAACTTGGCAACGTTTAATGCTAGAACCTTATCTAGTGAGGGAAGTCTAGCTGTACTATTCGAGGAGCTAGAGGGTGTTAAATGGGATATAATAGGGCTCAGTGAGGTTAGGAGGACAGATGAGGCCTATACGGTGCTACAGAATGGGCACGTCCTTTGCTACAGGGGCTTGGCAGACAGAAGAGAACTGGGAGTGGGGTTCCTAATTCACAGAAACATAGCTGGCAACATAGAGGAATACTATAGCATTAATGAAAGGGTGGTAGGTATCGTAATTAAACTGAATAAAAGATACAAGATGAAGGTAGTACAGGCTTACGCGCCTACATCCAGCCATGATGACGCTTCAGTTGAAAGCTTCTATGAAGACGTGGAATCGGCAATGAGTAAGGTAAAAACACAGTATACTATAGTGATGGGCGACTTTAATGCAAAGGTAGGGAAGAAGCAGGCTGGAGACCAGGCAGTAGGAGATTATGGCATCGGTACTAGAAACGCCAGAGGAGAGCTACTAGTAGAATTCGCAGAACGCAATAATTTACGGATTTTGAATACCTTCTACCGAAAACGAGAAAACCGCAAGTGGACATGGAGGAGCCCTAATGGCGAAAATAAGAACGAAATAGACTTTATAATGAGTGCACAACCTGGAATCGTGCAGGATGTGGAAGTGATTGGCAAGGTACGATGCAGTGACCATAGAATAGTACGGTCTCGAATTCGCCTAGACTTGAAGAAGGAACGACAGAAACTGATACGCAAGAAGCCAATCAATCAGCTAGCACTGAGAGGGAAAGTACAGGAATTCAGAGTGTCGCTGCAGAACAGGTACTCGGCTCTTAGTGAGGAAACGAACCTTAGCGTAGATACAATGAATGATAATCTAACGAGTATCATTACGGACTGTGCAGTGGAAGTTGGAGGCAGGGTAGTTAGACAAGACACTGGCAAGCTTTCCCAGGAAACGAAGAACCTAATTAAGAAGCGTCAAATCATGAAAGTGTCAAGTACAACAGACAAAATAGAACTGGCAGAGCTTTCGAAGTTGATTAATAGACGTAAGGTATGCGATGTAAGAAGGTATAACATGGAGAGAATTGAACACGCTCTGAAAAACGGAGGAAGTGTCAAAGCATTGAAGAGGAAACTTGGGATAGGCAAAAGTCGGATGTATGCACTAAGGGACAAAGAAGGCAAAATAACTACCAATATGGATAGGATAGTTAAAATAGCAGAGGAGTTTTACAGAGATCTGTACAGTAGCCGTGACAACCACGGCCTTAATACTATAAGAACTAGCAGTAACCCAGATTACACCCCACCAGTAATGATAGAAGAAGTCAGGAAAGCTTTGGAGAGCATGCAAAGGGGCAAAGCTGCTGGTGAGGATCAGGTAACATCAGATCTGCTGAAAGATGGAGGACAGATTGTGTTAGAAAAACTAGCCACCCTGTTTACGAGGTGTCTCCTGACGGGAAGAGTACCAGAGTCTTGGAAGAACGCTAACATCATCTTAATACATAAGAAAGGAGATGACAAGGACTTGAAGAATTACAGGCCGATCAGCTTGCTCTCTGTAGTATACAAGCTATTTACAAAGGTAATTGCTAACAGAGTAAAGAAAACATTAGAATTCAATCAACCAAAGGAACAAGCAGGATTTCGAACAGGCTACTCAACAATTGACCACATTCATACTATCAATCAGGTAATAGAGAAATGCTCAGAGTATAACCAACCCCTATACATAGCCTTCATAGATTACGAGAAAGCGTTTGATTCAGTAGAAATATCAGCCGTCATGCAAACACTGCGGAATCAGGGCGTAGATGAAGTATATATAAACATTCTGGAAGAAATCTACAGGGGATCAACTGCTACCATAGTGCTTCATAAAGAAAGCAACAGAATACCAATCAAGAAGGGTGTAAGGCAGGGGGACACAATTTCCCCAATGCTATTTACCGCGTGCTTACAGGAGGTTTTCAGAAGCCTAGAATGGGAACAGTTAGGGATAAGAGTCAATGGAGAATACCTTAGTAACCTGCGCTTCGCCGATGACATTGCATTGCTGAGTAACTCGGGGGACGAATTGCAACTCATGATTACGGAGCTAGACAAGGAGAGCAGAAAGGTGGGTCTTAAAATTAATCTGCAGAAAACGAAAGTAATGTACAACAACCTCGGCAAGGAGCAGCGCTTCGAGATAGGTAATAGTGCACTTGAAGTTGTAAAAGACTATGTCTACTTAGGGCAGGTAATAACCGCAGAGCCGAACCACGAGACTGAAGTAACTAGAAGAATAAGAATGGGGTGGAGCACATTTGGCAAGCACTCTCAAATTATGACAGGTAGTTTGCCACTATCCCTCAAGAGGAAGGTATATAACAGCTGTATCTTGCCTGTACTTAGCTACGGAGCAGAAACCTGGAGACTTACAAAGAGGGTTCAGCTTAAATTGAGGACGACGCAGCGAGCAATGGAAAGAAAAATGGTAGGTGTAACCTTAAGAGACAAGAAGAGAGCAGAGTGGATTAGGGAACAAACGGGGGTTAAGGATATCATAGCTGAAATCAAGAAGAAGAAATGGACATGGGCAGGGCATGTAGCGCGTAGACAGGATAACCGCTGGTCATTAAGGGTAACTGACTGGATTCCCAGAGAAGGGAAGCGGGTTAGGGGGAGACAGAAGGTTAGGTGGGCAGATGAGATTAAGAAGTTTGCGGGTATAAATTGGCAGCAGCAAGCACAGGACCGGGTTAACTGGCGGAACATGGGAGAGGCCTTTGTCCTGCAGTGGACGTAGTCAGGCTGATGATGATGATGACTGATATTTAAAAAAAAAAGGAATGAAGGTCAAAGTACAATTTATATTTAGTTTCACGCCAACACTCCAGTGCTGGTAAATCAGTGTGTCACGTTACAAAAATTTGTTTTATTTTTCTTATGATTTGGGCAACTCTGCCTCATTCAGTATTTTAGCTACTTCCCAAGTTTGATTCCTGCTGTGTCAGCATTTTGGGAACCTTGAGAATATTACCTTCCTTTTGTCCCAACCATATCTTTGTGTGATTGGGGACATTTTTCATGCGTCATTATTGATAATGTATTGCAAACTTTTGGTGAGAAGAGCACACTTACTTGAAAAGTCAGCGAGTGCATTGCAGAATTTTACTAGTAACACCATTTCAGCCCCACTTCCTTGGACGCCATTGTGTTTGCCCACCTGGCTCCATTACTACGAGCACCATTTCCAAACTGCGCCTTGCAGAACCACCTCAAGGCATGTGACAACTTGGCGGCATTCGTTACCAGAATTACACAGCGATACTTCTCTGTCAAAGGTGAGTTCTTCTGCATCATTGTATGTATGAAGTCATCATCTTGAATCACAGCTTAGCACGTTACACTTGCACAAATTATGCAGAAAGCTTTGCATCTAAATTGTGGAAGTAAGTCAACCATAGAGGCCGTGTACATTTTAAGAATAGATTTTTCTCAATTCCAAAAAATGCTGGGCCACGCAACGTGATATATTACTGGTGGCAACGGAGCAAAGTTGTCGAAAGGATGCAGCCTCTCTGCCAAGTTGCAGTGTCCATGAGCAGAATTTTTTTTTAATAGCGGGTAGAATATAAAAGCAGCTTGGGGGTGTTTTTTTTTTTTTTTTTCCACGAGGATCTGCAAGAAGCACACTCAGTTTTTCTGCCATTGGCTGTAGTTGTAGTACACAGAGTTAGATCATTCATAGTGCTGTTACATTTTGCTGTGTGTGTTTTTTTTTTCTTTATTGTCCAATATATCAAAGCGCGGACTCGCATTACTCAAAGAGTTCGCATTCAGGAGCTTACAATATTCAGTACAGTGCCTACTTTACAGCATATGGTTATATGAAGGGATTTATATTTGTTTTGCTTTGCAGATACTGGCAGTGGAGACTCAGGAGCTTCAAAAGTGTCGTCGGAGGAGTTTTCCTTCTCATGGCTCAACTCATTGATATCAATTGGTGTGGCAACAGTCGCCATGGTTTCATATGCTCTACTATCAGGGCTTGTGCAAGTATGTACTACAAGACATATTCATAACAGCAGAAGATGCATGAACTGCAGTTTGTTGAACATTGGATATCGGGCAGTTTTTGCATAACTGGAAAAGGTGCAGCCATCTTATGCTGTAAATGCAGAGGTGATGCATTGACAGAAGTCGTGAGCTAGTTTCTATTGCTTTAGCTCTCATACCGCACATGATTCTCTCTCCTTTGGATTTGTGGCGAATATTTCATGGTGCACACCACTGCGTAAAATAGTATGACAAAATGGGGTGTTGCGCAACATGGTCTTTGAAGCGTCTTGGTTATCTGTATTTTTACATATGCACAAGTGGCTTTAACCAAAAAAAGTAAAATTGTAAAAGTAGATGTTGCAAAGGCACGAAAAGGAAAAAAAGATAAGTTACACCCTAAATTGTACTTAGCAAGCATTGAAAACAAAAGCATAAACTGTTTAGTTAGAATAGGTTCATTAGCCATGACGGGCTTACCAACTGAAGTAAGAATCAAGTGAAATTAACTATTGCTCCCTAAAGCCGTTACTTTGAGGGCCTGTGAAACTTATTTAACTTGTTGTAGTTAACTTGTTGCTACTTTAACATTCTCATACCATCATAATTGTGTGAACTTTGTTGTCAGTGAATGCTATTGTTATTTTTTTTTATCTGACAATATCCCTACCACACGTTTCATGAACAGTTTATAAACTACATATCAGCACATAATAAGAAAGAGGGAAAAAGATAGTTTTGTAAGTTTTGCTTCTGCACAAAATTTACCAGACTACTTGAAAGATTAAATCAGAAATATTCTGTTATTCATGTCTATTTTCTAACATAGCACCAGCCTTTTGTAAGCTTATAGGCGGGAAGCTCTTGAGTTGCACATGATTACTTTTGACAATTTTCAGGTCGAGTACACTGAAGACGAGCCGCCACCTGTGGACAATAGAGACAAGACAACAAAGCGTGCTACAGAATGACAGTGTTTAGAGAAAGTACATCACAATGTACTATAGTGCCCAACCCTGTGCAGGACTGTGGTGCAGGGTTTCATCGTTTGAGTGACTTGTATATCACACTGCCTGACTGGCAGCAACAACTTGCAATGCTTCTGAAGAGGCATTTCTGCGCACAAGTGACATTGATAACTTGCGTGTGGGTGCTTGTGGCACTCGTTTGCCTTGGAACTGTACCCAAAAAGTATCTGCATTCATTTCATCAGCAGAAGCGCATCAACTAGAGGAATTTGCCAATGCCAACAACAGCAGTGCAAAGAACTTTGGGTTTGAAGAGTGTAGATGTAGGTAGAAACAAGCATGAAAGGAAAGTTGACGAACAGCGTAAACCGTGGAAGAGGTCAATTGTGGTTGTTGTGACAGCAACAAGTTCATGCTATTGTAGCAGAATGGTGTGTTGTTTTAGCATGAATGCATGTGATAAGCGAGTCTCTGCATGTACAGACACCTAACTAAATCTACCATAAAGGTTTATTGCTGAATCACCTCTGGACGAGTGCAAGAAGTTACTTCATTTCAGGAAACAAAAACATTTGATTAATAGTATTTATGGCAACCTCCACTTGTAGTTTTAAAACACATCCTGTAGTATTTGGCTACAGGTTGATATTTGACAATTTATATTCTCAAAGAAAAAACAAGCTCCGTAAGTTGAACCCATACCCAAGGAGCCAAATAAAGAGAACTTTATAGCCTTGGTTTGCAACAACAGGAGAGAAGAAAAAATTCATCACATGACGATTTCTCTGGGCAGCTTACACCTTTTTGCACAATTTTGTTGCTACGTAGAAGCAACAAGTCGAGTGATAACATCTTTTTACTATATTACTGTGCATGCACTGGTAATTTGACAGTTGAAAAGGTGCTGCATTTTTTTCTGGTTTATACACATTGCAGTGGCAGCTGCATGTTCAGACATGCGATTTCTCAGTGCCACTAGTACACACCTATCCACAGTGTGTCCACAAATTCCGTAGTCTACTTTATACCATATTGCTCTTCATTATCCTTTATCGGAGTAAAGCACTGGTACTTGTTGTGTCTGCTTGTTAACTAGTTAAGAAACCCCAGTTGGTCAAAATCCAGACACATGCATTATGCCATGCCTCATAATCGTATTGTGGTTTTGGTGCATGCAACCCTGGGAATTATTTTTGGGAATTAAAGCTGAACCCTTTTATAAGAAACTCTTATAAGGGACATATGGGTATAAGAGACCCCAGTATGCCTACAGTAAAATGTGGGGGATAGGAAAATGCATATGAACTCCCCTGCTAACAGGGAGCTCGTACCAGAGTTTAACTTTATTTTCTAAATAAAGCGAACTTTGTGGGTCACTGGCAGCAATTTTAACTCAATTCATTACTGATAATTTGGTAGCGAATATACATATATGGCAGACAGAGAATACATATTGTTACGGTCTTTACATGTTATTTTAATCAAAAACATACATGGCAAGCTTTAATTTATAGTTAATTCATTAAAATGCTAAACAGTATGATAATAACTAAAAATGGGCAAGTTGATGCCCATTTTCATCCTAATGCAGCTCAAGTGAATAGAACTTTTATAGCAGGGATGGAACGAAATGCGAATGGCGGGGCATCTACTATCTTTGCTGTCTCACACTTCTTTTTAAGCAGTTGTAGCCTGGATGGTGATAAAAAGCCACTAGAGTGATCCATGGTACAATCAAGAACCATTCTTGCATCTTTCGGTTTGCCAACAAGGTTAGAGCATAATGAAAACGGCACGCTACGCTTTTCAAGCTTCTTTTCAACCCCCATGTAGGTAACCATGAAAAAAAAAAAGCGTCTTGCACACCCACTACATGTGCGTTCATGTGTGTTGCTGAGTAAATAGATGGTTTGCATTTCCACTTACTTTCCGTGTACGAATCGATGTAATCACATGTTCAAATGCTTATCTGTGTTTTTATTTAACAATGCCACGACATGTACTTTTTCACCTAATTTCCCCCCCCCTTTTTTTTTTGTGCGGTCCCATTTCGATGGAGGCGAAATGTTAGAGGACCAGGTACTGTGCGATGTCAATGCACGCTAAAGAACACCGGATGGTCAAAAATTTTTCCAGCCCTGCACTAAGCCCTTCTTCATAATCGTATTGCCATGAGTATAAGATCGAATAGTATTGTTGCTAGCAAGCTTGTATGTGCCACTGCTGAAAAGATGATGACGCCGTATTGCCACTGATTACACCAGCCTGACATTCTCCTCTACTGCTAGTTTCAGGTTTCCATTACAGTATTGCATGTCCGGGTTAACTGGCGGGGAGAGGCCTTTGTCCTGCAGTGGACGTAGTCAGGCTGATGATGATGATGAAGATGATTGCATGTCCATATTGGTAGAGATGCTGGGTAGCAGTCTATGCACTGAGACCACCAGGAAGATCCCGACACAAACAGCAACGCTTTGGAAGGTGGCAATTATGCTTACGGCCCCAATTCGGCCCTCTTTCAGAACATTCTGAAAACAAGGCAAGCGTGACAATGGCAAGCCAGACTAAACAGACGACGACCCCACATGCCATATGGCTTTTCAATGCCTTGGGAACCCAAAGGCCCTTCCATGGAGATGCTTTCGAAGATGTTCAGCACTGGCTGGGCTAATACGGTCAAGTCACCATCGGTGACGAATGAAAATGTCTGCATATGCCTGGATGATTCGGCACGCATTTGGTTTAGGAACCATGAAACTGCCTCGAGAACTTGGATTTTCGTAGTCGGCTGAGGAATATGTATGGAAGTCGTGACCAGAAAGAATAAGCTGAATGACTCTTCATTCCCAGGAATCAATGACCAAACGAAAACATTGCCACGTTCATTGAAGAAATGTCTCGGCTGTTCCGGTGATCTGATCCAGCAATGGCGGAAGACGAGAAGGAACGCTTTTTAATTTAGAGTGTAAAGAGGCATTCACGACTCATGTGCAACCCAGCGTAGCAGGATTTCTCCATCAAGTCATAATGATGCAGCAAATGTGAAGACAGCGGTCTTCACTGTATGAGCAGTCGAATGACCTTTTATGTCTGTCATCGCCCTTGGAAACATCCGACATTACAACTGTCAAGAACCTGGTGGAGCTAGTGCACAACATCGAACACGAAAAGCTGCAAAAGTTTCCCGCATCTCCCTTGACACGTCTGACAAAAGATGTTCCCTTTGTGTGGGGCCCTGAGAAAATACGCGATTTCTCTGAGCTTCAGCAGCGCCTGTAGCCTGGGCCCTTACCCACACACTTCGATGAACATGCCAAAAATGAATTGCACGCAGATGCCAGTAACATTGGCCTTGGTGCAGTTTTTGTCCAGTGGCAAGACAGCATTGAGCGTGCTCTCGCTTATGCTAGCTGGATTTTACCATCTGCATAGGCGAATTACTCAACCATGGGAAAGAAATGTCTAGCTGTTGTCTGGGCGATATCAAAGTTCCAACTGTACCTGTATGACTACCCGTTCAAAGTTGTTGCAGATCGTCATGCCCTCTGCTATATATACTCTTCAGGACGTCTGGCTAGGAGGAGCTTATTCATGCCTTCAAGAATTAGACTTGACAATCATTTACAAGTCTGGCCGGAGGCACACTCACAAGATGCCATTTCCTCAGCCTCTCATCCTCTTTCAGCTCAACTGATGTGGCGGACAAAATGTGCTCTCTTCAAGTTTGTAGTTCAGAAGCTGCCTTGCAAATGTGTTTATATTGATACAAAACAACCGCTAAACACGGCTGCATGAAAGAGGAGGACGAAGTGGGTTTTCCGTTGGATGCTGGTCTGACGCCATCTTGCTCGTCGGGTTCTGTGCGCTGTAAATAGATAATTAAACAAGTTACTCGTAACATTATTGGTGGAGGTGGACGACCCCCGTACCTCGATGGAGACGCGCAGCGGTCGCACCATCGGCGACCTTTCGACTGCTTCGACTGCTGGTACTTCCTCTACGCCGCCCTCATCAGTCCAAGCCACCACCTACGTCACACTACCGCACCTCCGGGATCCCGGCACTTTCTCCGGTGATGGTACGATCGATCTCGACACTTGGCTGAAGCAGTACGAGCGCGTCAGTGCTACTCACCGATGGGATCCCACGCTCATGCTCGCCAACGTGCTTTTCTACCTGGACGGCACTCCCCGAACATGGTTTGAAAGCCACGAAGCCGACATAAGGAGCTGGGATCTCTTCAAAGAAAAGATACGTGACCTGTTTGGCGATTCATCTGGTCGTCAGCTCGCTGCGAAGAAGACTTGCCACACGGGCCCAGTCTTCTACCGAATCGTACGTCTCTTACATTCTTGACGTCTTGGCCCTTTGTTCCAAGGCCGACCAGTCCATGTCGGAAGACGAAAAGGTTAACCACGTCTTGAAAGGCATTGCTGATGATGCTTTCAACCTCCTGGTTTTTAACAACGTCTCGAGCATCGACACAATCCTTAAAGAATGCCGACGTCTCGAACAAACTAAAGCCCGCCGCGTAGCCCAAAGCATCGTGCGCCTTCCGAACACAGCGGCCACTTCTTCGTGTGACGAGGCCTTTCACCAGGCCCCTCGATGTGACAACCTTACACGCATCATTCGTGACAGGCCCATATGTTTTAACTGTCGACGCGTTGGTCATATCGCTCGTCACTGCCGCAGCCGCTGGGCTCCACCGTCCCATCATGCACCACAGTATCACACCACTTCTGCTCTCCAGTCGTCCCCACCACTTTCCCCATCTACGCCGACCACATTTTCCGCTCCTACAGCACCTCTGAGCAGACCTCGCTACGACCGGTCACCGTCCCCTGCTCGTCGTCAGTCCCGGTCGCCCCCACAATGCCGTGTTGCCTCCCCGACTTATTCGCAGCATCTCCGACCGGAAAACTAGGCCGTGCAGCTTCTTGAGGTGGAGCTGCGTTGACGACCTTCGTAAGAAATCCTCGATTAACGTTAACAACGAACCGGAACCTTTTGGACGTTACTGTCGACAATGTTCGTGTCAGTGCATTGATAGATACTGGCGCGCATGTGTCCATTATGAGTGCTAACCTTCGCCGCCGACTTAGAAAAGTTGTCACGCCCGCCCTCAACCGAGCTGTACGAGTCGCCGATGGAGGAACTGCCGCAATTCTTGGCATGTGCTCTGCGCGTGTGTCTATTGGGGAGAGAAGCACTGTCGTTCTTTTCGCCGTTATCGAACATTGCCCTCATGAACTCATTCTCGGTATGAATTTTCTAGCCACGCACTCTGCCCTCATAGACTGTTCAGCTGGCTCTCTCCATCTCGATTTACCCCTCTTTTCCGACCCGACCAGCCCACCGCAAACCAGCCTCTCCTGCATTGATTTCACGCGCCTCCCTCCTAACTCTGTCACGCATGTCGACTTATCCTCCACGCCGCCAGTACCTGATGGTGATTACATGGTGGCCCCGATTCCTGCAGTGATGCTTACGCATGGGGTTGCTGTGCTGCATATGATTCTGACGATTAAGAGAAACCGCACCTTCCTTCCACTGGTCAACTTTTCACTCACCACCCAAGTTCTGCCACAGGGTATCTCCCTGGCCAAAATTACTGCTCTCCAAGATGACCATGTCGAGCCCTTCAGAGTTGACGATTGCTGCAGCTCAGTCATGGTTCCACTCCATCACGTTCTTGGGGCGCCGACATCGAGCTTATTTTTCAACTATTGACCTTCGGTCAGGGTACTGGCAGATAGCCGTCGACGAGATGGACCGCGAGAAGACCGCATTTATCACTCCTGATGGTCTTTATCAGTTTAAGGTGATGCCCTTTGGACTCTGCAATGCACCAGCCACATTTGAAAGAATGATGGACTCATTTCTCCAAGGGCAGAAATGGTCCACCTGCTTGTGTTACCTTGACGATGTTATTGTCTTTTCGCCCACATTCGACTCGCATCTTGATCGTTTGTCAGCTATTCTGGACGTTTTTCGTCGAGCCGGACTCCAGCTTAACGCCTCCAAGTGCCGCTTCGCTCGTCGTCAAATTTCCGTGCTCGGTCACCTTGTCGATGCTCAAGGCGTGCGTCCAGACCCAGAGAAAATTCGCGCAGTCGCGAACTTTCCCGTTCCGAAGACCACAAAGGATGTCCGCAGTTTTGTGGGGTTGTGCTCATATTTCAGACGCTTTGTTAAGGACTTTGCGACCATTGCACGCCCACTCACAGACCTCTTGAAGAAAGACGCCTCGTTTACCTGGGGCCATGACCAAGCGTCATCGTTTTCGCAACTTACGACATTGCTTACAACGCCACCAATCTTGGCTCACTTTGATCCATTAGCCCCAACCGAGGTTCACACGGACGCCAGTGGACACGGC